CTGGCGGCCATTTTGTTAAAGAATTCAGTTCTGGATCCGTATCCAAGACATGTCTGGATTGATCAAGTTCAAACTTCACACACACATGGTACATCATGTCACAAATAGATATGTGCATTTGTTTCATGATCTGCTTAACAATAGCGGAATGATGGCCATTTTAAGGCCGAAAATGCATCAAAATCACGTATTTTCACAATTCCAGAACCGGATCTCAGTCATGCATGGATGGATTTTGTTCAGATTTAGCACAATGTGTTGTACATATGCAGGTGCATTTCGGTCATGATCTGCTTTGAATGTATATGTCACTCAAATATGAACGGAACGGGGACGGGTCATTGACAATGACTTGTTTCTATTAGAAGAGCATATAAGTGTACGTAAGTAAGAAAATGTATTAGTTGATGCTGGATAAAACAAAACTGAGTTACTGGCAAAGTTTGAATTGAATTTACAACATGTGCTTGCCATGTATAGAAGCCTCAGCAAGCATCACTATGTGCTTGCCATGTACATTGTATATAACTGTTTCAAGTGCTACAAAAAACTTTAAATTCATCTTTTTCAGCTTTCAAATTACTTGAAGACAGTCCGCAATCACTGGTTCAAAAGTTTGTCTATTTCCTTGGCAATATTGGCGGTGTTGGGTTAGCAGCATATAAATGTTCTTCAATGGGATTATTACCAACACATGCTTCTGACTGGATATCCTTTTTAGAACCACAAGAGGTAAGAATAGAAAACAACCAATTAGACCAGTAATCCAGTAAACAATGGCTACAGTGTTTACCAGTACCGTAGTTGTCAGAGTATAAACCCCTCAGAGAAAATGGCAAAATGACGAACAATTGGAGGGGGGGGGCTTATAAACGGATAAAAGTTAAAACTTCTCCCGAGTAGCATGGTCCAAGTTAACTTGAGGTTTGGTCGTTACGCCCCGGGGTCACTAATCACTCTTGGGTGCGTTTACTAAGTGGAACAGCATTCCACCCTGCGTTTCGCATGAATATTGGTCTGTACGTTTTGGGGTAATGAAAATATATTCTAAACGAAGTTTCAAATAAAAACTAACACAACTGCATTGCGTAGCAGCAAATGATCACGGTTGCGCAATCCGGTCATGCTGCGTTTCACAATTGTTGATTATTACTCAGTAGTGATTATAATAATGTGCAAAATAAATAAATTTGTTGAATTGTTGTGAAATGCAAATAAAATTAAACTTAGTTTCATCGTAAGCAAATGATTCCGGTCACATACAGTACAGTTCTCACGAAAGCTTTGGCTTTTGTGGCATCATTGTCGCCTACGCATGGCTTCATTGTATTTGTCTGTGTTTCGTTTAGTTTTAGCCAAGTCCAATCCCATGCCCGGACTACTAATACATGCAAAACACACGTACGTTGCCTGGTGCGTTGGTGTTGTTGCCTGCCATCTTGATACAAAGTTCCAAAACAAGTGCGTACATTTCTAACTATGATTGGATGGTTGTGGTGGCGTCTGTCTGGTAAAATTTTACATCTAGTTTTCAAAATTAAGTCATGATCAGTGACCTGAGCTCGATCTATACGTACTTTAAAAGTATTCTCACAAAAAATATTTTCCAATAAAAACGAGCCACATGCCCTGTAAAAAATCGAATAGCACTTGATATGCAGAAATAATTTATTGGGCTTCAGAAAAAAACGTGTCTATTTAGTTGTAGCCATAAATAATTGGTGACCAGTCGATGAACAATTTGAAACTCATGATACACAGGGTCCTTCGATACTGAATATCATCGACCCCAATCTGGTTTACCTTATTTCCCAACTTGCAAAACTGATTTGTATCTCAGTCCAGTTTTTTCTTCTTTTTTTGAACTGAGGTCAAATCCCAGCCGTTTGTCAAAATATACCGATGTTTTTCAGTGAATAATTGTGAAGCCTGTCACAGCACAACAAACTATGTGAATCAACGCCAGAGATTGGATGGTACGACGACCTTTAAATTAGCATCAAATATGCTTTGTTACAACATCAATGATTGGCTGAGAGTCACCTGATTGGAGCACGACCTAGGTCACAGAACCATATTTGTCCGTATTATCAATGGGACTTTGTGAGAGAACCACACCCACATTTTCAACCATTTTTAGCACGGAAGTTGCCAACAAATGTTGAAAAACTCATGAATTTTATGGATTTGAATAAAATAAAGCTAACGATTGGTAAAACTGGTTAATAATACATCCCCGGATGCTCTTCGAATTTTTTTATTTTATTTCAAGGTGAGAAATAGATAGTTGAAGTTGCATCGATTTCACCGAGACAACTCTACGCTGATAAACTTATAAAGATAAACTGAGCATTAGAAGAACAATCAAATAAATGACTTGTTGTGAAATGCTGTAAATTTGGAGGGGGGCTTATACTCGGGCAGGGGTTTATACTCGGACAACTACGGTACTGTTAATATTTAATGTATTTTTCATGCAAAATTGTTATACTATTTAGACTTTTATACTCATTTTCGTCGTGAAAAGATTGTGCATCCAGCCATTTGTTATTTAATCTTGATTATCACAGTGAACAAGTTTTAATAGCTAAATGTTTTTCTAATGTATTTCAAAATGGAATTTTTATATTAACTTGCTTTTTGTTTTTACTCTTTCTAGAGAGTGGAGTATGCTGGTGGAGGACTTCTCTTATGATATCTATCTGATGGAAATTTTTCCTAATTTATTCCCACTAAGACAAACCCCAAAGAGGATATGAAGTACACCTGATTTCTACCAGAACGCTATCTACTGTATTTGTCTGCAACAGATACAAATGTTCCCATCTTTTGTCTGTAAGAAGTACAACTCCAATATTTCTATGTGATACAAACACGTTTGTTTTGGTGGGATTTTAAGTACACTAAACTGTTATGATTACGAGTTGTTATAACTTGTTTACAGGTCGTCTATATAAATGTATGCACTTCTGATTGAGCCAATACATTAGATTTCTTGACATTGAGATGAAATGATGGTATATATGATTCATTGAATGTACCGGTAACCTCAATTCAAATGTCATTTTATAAGGGAAAGATGATATTGTGGGGATAGATAACGCTGTCAATAGAAAACATCAATGATTGTTTTACTGTGTTTCTGACTTCTTTTGAAGTTCTTAGAAATGACATACTATAGAATACTTGATTTTCGCTTGGGATTTATTTTCATTATTTAGTGAAAATAAAATCCAGCTAATATACCTTTTTTCTATATTTTACATTAAACTTGTCAAAAATCAGTGAAAATAAATTCCATACAAAACACCTAAAAGTCTTTTCAGCGAAAATTAATTCCAGCTAAAATAAAGTATTTTACAGTATCCTATTTGTGTTTAACAATTCTGTGTATGGCATTATTCAAAACTGACAAGTCCCATTTTATAAAGCAAGGCAATCCCATATATGGCATTATCTATTACTGACAATTTTGTACATGGCAGATTTACTCTGGGACTGACAATGCCATACCATTTTCCTCTACAATCATATTTTGTAAATTTTGGAAGCTTTACCCTTTTTATGTACAAGCAAACTAATAAAAGTATTGAAAGATTAGTGCGCATGTATGTTTTTTGTAAATATTGAAAATACTTGTAGTAGTACTATGTGTGTTTACAGATATAAAGTCAGTGTTAATATTCATGGCTTTTTCAAGTTGAAACTTGGCCTACCTCCCCCCGCGAAATACTGTAGAATACTTTATTTTCGCTGAAAGAATGATTTCGTGAAAATAAAATCCAGCGAATATACTTTTTTTTTCTATATTTCACATTAAACTCTTCAAAAATCAGTGAAAATAAATTCCATACAAAACGCCAAAAAAGCCTTTTGAGCGAAAATTAATTCCAGTGAAAATAAAGTATTCCACAGTATTTTGCCAGATGTAGAAACTGGTGGGGAAGCAAATTCAGTTTGTCTAAAGTAAAATTGAGCCTTACTGGTGGGTGTTGTTTACATAAAATTTGAACAAGTAGGGACAGCATTGCATTAAGAAGGCTTGAGCAGAATCGAAGAGTCATTGGGCTCATGCCATCAGGATAATGAAAATGGAACAATTGTATAAGATACAAGGCTTTTGAAAAGAATTCAAAAAGTTTAAATTGGGCGTACATCACATGTACCTTTTCTGTGGTCAGTCATTGCCACCACAGGTGAGTTAATGGTACCTGTACAATGTGAAAGTTGTGACAAACGTTTTAAGCTGTGAAAGCTGTTTTTTTGTGGAGGGGGGGGGATCTAAAATTCAAATTGACCCATCAAGAAATTGTGCCATTGTTAGTTCTAATTAGTATTAATGAGATACTTCAACTTGTGACCAATCAGCAATGGCCTCATTTTGAATATGGAGGCGATTGCAGTTGCCACATCATGTGAAATTTGATTGGAAACTGTTGAACTGTAATGATTTTTTACAAAACAGCTATAGAACAGCTATATGCCTTTCCCTGTATGACATCATCACTAGTTATAATTAATGTGAATGAGTTTAACAATATCAAGCACTCCAATTTGAATAAATGGGTGGTCATATTTGCTATGTCGCCTGAAGAATTGACGCACATTATGAACAATTTAACAGAATATACATAGACAAATTCAAAATAATTTTAAACACGACAGAGCCATCTCTGCTTAGACATGTTATCAGATACTTAAACAATGCTTTTACTAAAAGACTAGCACTAACTAGTAGTTAAGTTGGTATTTATATACATCATATCAAAACAAAAACACTTTATTATTTGCAAACCAAAAAAGAATTGTAACTTCTTTACAGTTATAATAAAGGTTATTATTATTATGGGCGTAGACAATGTTGATCTCTCATGCTGCCAATCAATTAAATCACATATTTGAATGTGAATAAAAGCTGATGATGGTAATTTCATTTTTTTTTACAAAATGTACATAAACAAAAATAATACACCGTGCATACCAGCTGCAATCTCAGTGTTCCAGCTGACTGCCGACGTACAGGTCAACATGTCAAGGAGACAACACGTGAAATCAACAACACGTGATAATCAAATTACCACTGACCTGGGGAGTCTTAATAAATTTTAATAGTTTAGTTGATCACAAAGCCTGTAACACACTCGTTTACACGGAACCTTGCAGCAGTACATGTATCGAGTTAGAGCTGGATTGAAATGACGATGTCGATACTAACTGTGACAGTGCTAGCGAGTGTTCTGGCAACTGTCACGTTATCAGGTGAGAGAACAGAGTATTATAATCATGTGATTCGATAACTTTTCCGGAAGTCATGACTTGAAAGTGATTTTGTATCTGACAACAACAAAATAAATATACGTTAGAAGACAAAATGTATCGTATCTGGACGCTTAATTGTCATAGCCCAGGGTGTTATTATCAAACCGTGGTTGCATTTCTGAACTCAACAAGTGGTATCGGATCAATCGGCCATCAGTTGTTGGTGTACGGTCAAGCAAATATCACATGACTACCCAATCTGAGTGACGATTGCTTTCTTTGATCATCAATTGACTATAGAAAAACATGTGTAATATATGGGTCCCATACAGCGTATAGAACGTGTGTAAAATGAATTGTTTACTTGTACCTGGCACCTTTTAAATCAGAGATTTCCTTAGCCAAGTAATCAGTGAAAATGAAGAAATAACTAGTAAACTGACTAAAACACTGCAGCAAAATATTAGTAGTATTTTTGAATTTGGTTTAAAATATTTTTTATCTATCAACTTATATAATTACTGCATGGCTATCAAAATTGACATAATTTTAAAACTATTTTTGTCTTCTTCAGCACCTCCAGTATTCCGCTTAGCAAGTTACTATGGTGACCACATGGTGTTACAAATGGAACCACATCAGTCAATTATCTGGGGATATGGAGAAGAAAATTCAGACATTGAAGTGAACTTGAAAGAAAAAATATATACAACAACAACATACCAAGGTAGAGTTAAAATATAGGGATGGATAATACACTTGTCACAGGCATTTCCTGTACCTTCGCTAAGATATTCACCGGTATTGTGACTGGCTATTGGAAAGTCTGAAAAATAAACTTTTTGAATAGAGTTTTTGAATTATGAATCACAGTGGTTTTTTTTTTACCAATTTTAAATTAAAAATGGCCACCAGAGAAATAAGAGGCATTGTTTTCATGTAAACAAGTTTGGGTATTTAAATTTAACATTCCTCAGCAAAATATCAAGAATTTGTAGTGCTTTAAAATTGTTACTAATTTGCCACATCTATCCTAAATATGCATAAAAATAGTAAAATGTTTTGTAACATTGTTGCTTTGATGCCACCATATAACCATGTATTTCTATAGGCTGTGCACGAGCTGCTGTGGAACGACAGCTATAGTTGAGAAAAACAGCTAAAGTTGGAAAAACAACACAAACTCAACCAAGAGACATCGTGAACAACCAAATTCATATATGATGTACATATAGGGGTAATCTTGTGACACTGTAAAGTACAGTTTTATGAGAGTTTTCGACTCTTGTTTGGCCGTAAAAATGCCTGGATGTTCACTCCTGCAAATTGGTGCTGGGTATTCTGTGATTTATAAACTGAAATTTTATAAAATATAGTGCCTGGCACGTTGATTATAATACATTAGTACCCATGTATGAATCATTGTATGATCTGAGGGGTTTACTAACACCACAAATCAATCAGTTACTAGTAATCTATGAAGTCTGTTCTACTGTTCTATTTGCATGGAGGAAAATAAACCTGTTTTCTATTGTCAACCTCCAAGTTATTTTCTCTTTGTATAATTATTTTGGGATATGAGTGCTAGACTGTCAGCTGTAACCAACTATAAAGTGTGGTAATAATTGCCTCTGTCATCAAACAGCTGCTACAATAACATTTAAAAAATCTTTGGAAAAGTAAATACGAGAACTTTATGGAAAATAGTATAATCAAACCTTGCTCATGATATGGTGATTGTGTCAGATATTTTGTCATATCGGAAACCACATCTCAATATGTGTTGGCCATTTATACGTACATCATAGCATAGACATGCACATACAATAATTATTATCATCTGATCACAGATATGACAGACTGCTGACCATTTTAGTTGAAAAAAACACCAAAATCAAATATTTTGATATTTATCAAACCAAATCTTAGGCATGGATGTCAGATTCTTTTTTTAAACTTTGTGAAAGAATTTACCATTATGGGTAATATAGTTGATTCAAATCACCATGTGGTTGTTTTGTTTTTACTTTTTTTGTCCCAGACAAACATGTACATGTATATCTTCTACATGCTTTGTGGGAGAGTGCTAGATGCATTCTTAAATTAACTTATGGAAAATTAATCTTCTAAATTATCACTTATTGCTATCACCCAATGTCAAACTATTTTAAAGAACGCAATAAAGTTAATATTATTTGAAAATCATAGTCATAACTTCATCAATGTTTTCTAGGAGTTTTTCAAATTATGAGATGTTTAACAAAAAATAGTGTATGCTTAGTGTCGTGGGATTGACACAGCTTTATGATATCATTGAAAAGAACTTAAATGTGTACAGGCAAACTATTTTTCAATGTGTGATAGTTTAGTTGGGGGCAATACAAATAAAACTGATCTTGGAATTCAGTATATTACTTTTTTCAAAATGCAGCGCATGGATACAACTGCCGAGGCGCATTCAATTATTAACAGACTACTGAACTAATAGGAAGTGTGAATAAACAGTGTCTTAGCACAGCAATAATTACGTAATTTATTTATTTTCAGGAAAAGTAATATTTTATATATGAGTATGTCACGTGTCACAAAAACATAGATACAGACATAAAACACAAATTTGAACCTTGGTAATATTTCAAACAAATATTTCAATAATACCGGTACTTCTTGCTACCTTAATATATTGTATGATTTTAATAAAAACTTGATTGCTCTAATTACAATTAAAAACAGTCTCAGCCAGTAAAAGAACACAAGATTAAGGTAAGATTAAGCCACCCGCCAATGAAATTCCTTGCATACGAACACCTAATTACACAAAGAACGTGTATTTAAAACCAAAATTGTCATCTAACTATTTGACCGTCTCTGATTAGCTCCTGAATTGAATAAGTATGTTCTATGATCTTCCAGTAATTAGGTGTTTGTATGCAAGGGATTTTTTCACACAAAAATGACAAACTTGGCTGAATTTTTAAGCAGTTAGCGAATTGTATAGCTGTGAAAGTTTGGTATTTTTCCCTCGAAGTGTAGAAAACGGAAAAACATGTTTAACAAATGCATTTGTTGTAAACTGAATAATTAAAATATTATTTAGTTTGACCTGAAATAGACAGTAGAGGATAGCATTGACTTCCACTACACGTTAATATATATATATCATAGCATATACTTTGTATGTTCTTGATTTGACCTCATAATATTTACATAATACATATATGCAACTTTGGTATTAATTTTGTTAGGTCCTGATGGCATACAATGGATTTGGAAAATCACCTTGGATGTTATGCCACCGAGTGGGCCGTTTAGTATCGAAATAAAGCACCATGCATCAATGACTGATGTCATAACACTACGTGATGTATTATTTGGTGATGTATGGCTGTGTGGTGGGCAAAGTAACATGGTTTTTTCAGTAACCCAGGTATGTGATAAGTTTGATATGAATTATGCAAACATTGAATACAACACAAGTTGCAATATATTATGAAAGGCTTTATGAGTTTCAACCTTGGATTTATTGAGAAAAGTTAGGTTGAAATGGTAATTATTGTTTTTTAAATTAACCTTGTGAAATTAAATAATCGACTGTGGAACTGGCAGAGCAAAATAAAGTATATTTTTAGCTCCGCTGTCAACTTTGTCGGAGCGAAGCTTATCATATGAGTGAATGTCCGCAGTCATCGGTCGTATCAACTTTTTCGATTGCTTTGAATATTGTGTATATGTGGTATACATGTGGACCTCTCTCAGATTCTTCATTTCGTGATGATATCTTCAATTCTCTAATTTTGATGAATATTTTTGTAATTTTTGGTAAAAAGTGATATTTTCGACTTCTTGTTGAAAACCGCAAGTCCAATTGCTTTGATATATTATACATATAGGTACTACATGTGGACCTCTCTCAGATTTGTTCATTTTCTAATGATATCTTCAATTCTTTAATTGAAATGTGCATTGCTAACAGCGGAGCTATCTCAACTAAGAGGCTGCTTGTTTCAAGTTTGAAACAGCTGTTGACATTGAATATGTAACTTATTTATGTTCTGTTTTGGTGCGCATGTGCAGTGTATGGTTAACAAGAATTCATCATTTTCACCCAAAGATAAAATACTGGCATTGTTCACTACTGTTATTAAATATACATGTATGTGCTCCTGTTAAAACAACTTATGGGAAATGTTCGCAGATCGCAAGCATGTGTGGAATTGGCACACGACATTTGTATTACTGGTTGGCATAAATGTAAACATATGATGTCACAGTGACACAAGGATACTTAACATCATTAGTACACTTTATTAATTTGTGTTTATGTATTGTCAAGACAATAAAAAAAAGACTGAACAAACAATACTAAATATAATTGTTGTATGAAACTGTATCTCATCTCAATTTCAAAACAATTAACAATAATATTATTACACATAAAAGTGATGAGTTATATTTTACTCTTGATGTTTGCAGGCGTTCAATGCAACCATGGAAGCAATGCTATCTTATGAGTATCCTTACATCAGATTGTTTACAGTCAATTTGAATGAATCTGAAAAAGCACTGTATGACTTGGAATCAGTGGAAGAACCTTGGTCTGTCCCATCACCAGGTAAGTAGCACATCTTACCTAGGTCTGTCCTGTCACATGACAGGTGATATCTTACCCTAGCCTTTCACACCACATGGTAAGTGACACATCTTACTCTGGTCTGTCCCATCACATGGTAAGTGACACATCTTACCCTGGTCTGTCCCATCACACGGTAAGTGACATATCTTACCCTGGCCTGTCCCATCACACGGTAAGTGACATATCTTACCTTAGTCTGTCCCATCACATGGTAAGTGACACGTCTTACCCTGGCCTGTCCCATCACATGGTAAGTGACATATCTTACCCTGGTCTGTCCCATCACATGGTGACACATCTTACCCTGGTCTGTCCCATCACATGGTAAGCGACACATCTTACCCTGGTCTGTCCATCACATGGTAAGTGACACATCTTACCCTAGTCTGTCCCATCACATGGTAAGGGACACATCTTACCCTGGTCTGTCCCATCACATGGTAAGTGACACATCTCACCCTGGTCTGTACCATCACATGGTAAGTGTAGCATCTTACCCTGGTCTGTCCCATCACATGGTAAGTGTAGCATCTTACCCTGGTCTGTCCCATCACATGGTAAGTGACACATCTTACCCTGGTCTGTCCCATCACATGGTTAGTGACACATCTTACCCTGGTCTGTCCCATCACATGGTAAGTAACACATCTTACCCTGGTCTGTCCCATCACATGGTAAGTGACACATCTTACCCTGGTATGTCCCATCACATGGTAAGTATCACATCTTACCCTGGTCTGTCCCGTCACATGGTAAGTGACACATTTTACTCTGGCCTGTCCCATCACATGGTAAGTAGTACATCTTACCCTGGTCTGTCCCATCACATGATAAGTAACACATATCTTACCCTGGTCTGTCCCACCACATGGTAAGTAGCACATCTTACCCTGGTCTGCCCTATCACATGGTAAGTGACATATCTTATCCTGGTCTGTCCCATCACATGGTAAGTGACACATCTTACCATGGTTTGTCCCATCACATGGTAAGTGACATATCTTACCCTGGCCTGTCCCATCACACTGTAAGTGACATCTTACCTTAGTCTGTCCCATCACATGGTAAGTGACACATCTTACCCTGGCCTGTCCCATCACATGGTAAGTGACATATCTTACCCTGGCCTGTCCCATCACATGGTAAGTGACACATCTTACGTGGTCTGCCCCATCACATGGTAAGGGACACATCTTACCCTGGTCTGTCCCATCACATGGTAAGTGACACATCTTACCCTGGTCTGTCCCATCACATGGTAAGTGACACATCTCACCCTGGTCTGTTCCATCACATGGTAAGTGTAGCATCTTACCCTGGTCTGTCCCATCACATGGTAAGTGTAGCATCTTACCCTGGTCTGTCCCATCACATGGTAAGTGACACATCTTACCCTGGTCTGTCCCATCACATGGTTAGTGACACATCTTACCCTGGTCTGTCCCATCACATGGTAAGTAACACATCTTACCCTGGTCTGTCTCATCACATGGTAAGTGACACATCTTACCCTGGTCTGTCCCATCACATGGTAAGTATCACATCTTACCCTGGTCTGTCCCGTCACATGGTAAGTAGTACATCTTACCTTGGTCTGTCCCATCACATGATAAGTAACACATATCTTACCCTGGTCTGTCCCACCACATGGTAAGTAGCACATCTTACCCTGGTCTGCCCCATCACATGGTAAGTGACATATCTTATCCTGGTCTGTCCCATCACATGGTAAGTGACACATCTTACCATGGTTTGTCCCATCACATGGTAAGTGACATATCTTGCCCTGGCCTGTCCCATCACACTGTAAGTGACATATCTTACCTTAGTCTGTCCCATCACATGGTAAGTGACACATCTTACCCTGGCCTGTCCCATCACATGGTAAGTGACATATCTTACCCTGGCCTGTCCCATCACATGGTAAGTAACATGCCTTACCTTGGTTAATATATTAATTAGGTTAATTTATCTCAATGAAATTTGTGAACCATAGAAATAATTGTCTATTGTTTGTGTTCATTTGCTAAGGATCACTAGGAATTGCTACACTTATCATATCACATTCAGTTCACCATTTTTAACAAAAAACACAAATCTATATTTCATTTTTTCTGTGCAGCAACTGTGTCTGCTGGAGCATTCAAGTATTTCTCAGCTACATGTTGGTTCTATGGTCGTAATCTTTACGATCACCTACAGTATCCTATTGGTTTACTGGTCAGCAGTTACGGTGGAACACCAGTAGAGGCGTGGTCATCTCCAGATGCATTGAAGGTGTGCAATAGAACAGAATTACAGGAAGCAAACAACAGGTGAACATAACTTATTGGGGTTCAAATTCTGACTATTTAGCAAATCTGTCCTTTAATTTTGTTCAGTGTCACCAAATGTGATCTATTTTTCTGAAGCTTACAATATATAGTGTTAAAAAAATGTGTTAAAAAGTCATTTGTTAATCATAAATTCTATCAAAGTTACTAAGAATGTTACCATAACAACCTATATATCATAATTAGGTATAAGCAAACAAGTACCTGGTAGTGTATATGCCATACCAATGTTTGTCAAAAGGATTGCCAAATAACCATTTTCATTCCAACATTCAAATGATCTGTCAATTGCACAGGACATTTGTAATGTATTTTTATTGGTTGACATCTGTGCATACATATATGTGTGTGTTCTTGGGTGTACAAGTGGTCTGTAGCCAGTCATATCTCACACATGCTTGAGCCAAACTTATACATCTGATGTTATATACAACATGTGCACATGATTTGATTCAAGATAAATAATCAAGTCCCTCTCCATTTTAATGCCAAAAATACATTTGTTTTATAATCTGATTCAAGATTGCCGATTGACAGCAATTTTGAAGAAAATCAAAACCTGATCTCAGTCGTGCATGCATGAATTGTGGTCAAACTTGGGACCTTCATGCAGATCAAAATGGCTGACTGGTGGCCATTTTTTTCTAAGAATGCAGTTGCTGATTCAAATATTTGAGATGCCTGGATCAAAAACTTCACAGGTACATCAGACATCATATCAGACAAATACAAATGCATTTTTGTCAACCTCAAACTCAAAATGGCTGACTGATGGCCATTTGTTTAAACAAATGCAGATGCAATCAAGTTTAAACTTCACAAATACATCACATTATGTCATATATATATATACATGTATCTCATGACTATACTACAATTGACAATGATTTTTTTACAATGTAACTCGCCTTATAGCCATTTGAATGAATCTTTATTGTTGGATTTCTATTCTAGCAAAAAAAGTGATATTATTGAAGCGAAAAAAAATGATCCTAATTGGGATGCCAAGTTTGGTGGACCCGGAGCTCATAGTGTATTATGGAATGCTATGATACATCCATTACTGAATATTACCATAAAAGGAGCTAT